TGCAAAGGCCCTGATGTCTGAGGACGTGAAAGAAGACTGGGGAGGGAGAGCGAGGTCTGAAATGAGGTCTGAGGCAGGCCCTGGGGAAGAATGGGGGTTTCATGCTAAGGGAGGAAGGAGCCACTGGTGCGTTTTCCGTGGCTGAGGCCATATGTCACTGGCTAGCAGGCCCCTGCGGTATAGAATGAAAGACACACAGTGAGAGGTGGCTGGGTTGGGAATACGGTTCCGAGGTAGAGCTGACGGGAAATGCTCTTGTTTGGAACGTGGGGTGCGAGGGAGAATGCTTTCCACGGAGCCCAGACTCGTGTCACCTCGGAGGCCGTCTCGGCTAGTGCCCCCTCCCAGTCCTGCCTCAGCTTGCAGATGGGGAGACTGAGCTTTAGAGGCCAGCCAGCCCCCACAGGAGGGCTGTGGATTCTCCGAAGTCCCGCCGAAACTCAGTGCCTGACCCAGGACTCAAACCCGGGCCGGCCACCGCGCCCTGCTGCCTCTCTGCTGAGGAGGGAGCAGGAGGGAGGAACCACTGCCCGGGTTGGCCTGACCAGGCATGGCCAAATGGTGAGGTCACCCCGAGAAGCGTCTGCAGGGCGAGGCGGGGGCTGAGGCGCTGCCCTGGGAGCAGGGGTGGGCGGAATATCGTGGAAGGGCCTGGGGACAAGGAGAACGTGCCAGGGCAGTGTCTTCAGCCTGGCAGACCTGGGGGACTTCTGGAGACTGTGTGGGCCACTGACCCTCAGGGCTCTTGGCAGAGAGACGAGCTTCCTGCAGGGGCCTCCGAGAGCCAAGCCCAAGGTGGGCAAGGCTTGTGGTGCCTTACCTGGCCCAGCCAGGTTTGCAAACTTCTGAGCCCCCAGTCCCCTGACAAAGGAGCCAGCGGTGGCCACTCCAGAGGAAGGAAAGAGGGAGGAAGGAGCCACTGGTGCGTTTTCCGTGGCTGAGGCCATATGTCACTGGCTAGCAGGCCCCTGCGGCCTGGGGACGCAGCCTGTGGTGCTCAGAGGAGCCCAAGGCAGGTGGCCTGGGCTGAACTGTGCTCCGCTCCTGAGAGCAATAATCCTGCAGTATCAACGTCTTCCTCTTACTCACGGCTGCTTCTGGGTTCAGTTGTTTTTGTGATTATCTGTATTATCTCCATTTTACAAAAGAGACTCAGAGTTTAAGGAACTTGCCTGGTGTCACACGGTTAAGTGGCAGAGTCACCATCTGAAGCTAGCTTCTTACCCCTGGTGGGCTGCTGCCGCCTGCTCCCTGTGACCGTGTTCAGGGCTGTTTCCCTCTTGGGGCCTACGTGTGTCCGTCTGTGAAACACCGGAGTGCAGTGAATGAGCCTGACGGGCCCTCGTAGCTCTCTCCACTGGAGCCCAGAATCGCTTCTCTAGGGAGGGTTCAGGGACAGGAGCTGGATGGACCGGCACCGGGGACTTGTCTGGGAACGGCGCCCTCCACCAGCCTGGGCCAGTGGTTAAGGGCACAGGTGCTGGCAGGCCACCACCTCCTCTGAGGGCGGAGTGAGCACTGGCTGAGTCACTGCAAGCAACATGTCCCTAGGGCCTGGCACATGGTGGGTGACAGCTCTTCATGTTTGGTTGGCGAGCAGGAGGCTGTCTCTTCACGGTCCATTCATTCACTCATTCAGCAAATATTTGCTAAATACCTCCAGCATGCCAGGTGCTATTCTAGGTATTGGCAGCACAGTGGCGCCCAAAATAGCATTGACTCCCTGCCTTCATGCAGCTTAGTTCTCTAAGTGGGGGATGCAGACCAAAAAAAAAAAAAAAAAACAAAATTAAAAAGCACCCCATAGAGCATGTTAGATAGTGGTAAGCGCCAGAGGAGCAGTCAACAGAGAAGGTGAGAGGCAGCGCCCCTGGCAGGGGGATGTCAGACTTTTATCTTATTTATTTATTTTCTTTTAGAGACAGGGTCTGTCTCTGTTGCCCAGGCTAGAGTGCAGTAGTGTCGTCATAGCTCACTGCAGCCTCAAACTGTTGGCCTCTAGAGATCCTCCCACCTCAGCCTCCTGAGTAGCTGGGACTAAAGGCTCAAGCCACCACGCTTGGCTAAGGTCTTGCTATGTTGCCCAAGCTGGTCTTGAACTTCTGACCTCAAGCAATCTTCCTGCTTCAGCCTCCCAAAGCGCTAGGATTACAGGCGTGAGCCACCGCACAGGCTGGGTCAGATTTTTAAATTAGGAGACTGGGAAGGCCTTCCTCAGAAGGCCACCTGAACGGGTGGGAGGTGAGCAGGGTGGCTCTCTGAGGGAAGAGTGTGCCAGGCAGTGGGAACAGCCAGGGCTAAGGCCCTGAGGCCAGAGGCCCAGCTCATTCTAAGAGGAGGCCAATGAGGTCACATGGCCGTGAGCAAGAGGGAAACTGACAGGGGCTGAGGTCAGAAAAGCTAAGGGGGGTTGAGGACAGATTGTGGGGGGCTGTTTTCAGGGCCACCCTAGACATTTAGTAAATCCGTGCATCCACAGCCAAAGCTGATTCCTTTGGGGGTCCTGAAATCTTCTTTCTCCGGGCACTGGTTTCATCCGCAGCTGCACCTTCACTATCTGCCCATTCCAGGGCTGTCCTTGAGGTCCCAGCCCAGTGCTCCAGGGTCTCTGGAGGCCAAGTGGTCCTGAAGGGTCTGAAAATAGGAAACAGGTACAAAAGTGAGTTTGGGAAGATGCTATGAGAGCCACTACCCTGATCCAAAGCAGGGCAGCCGAAACCCAGGGTGGGACCCTGGGAGCCAGAGCTGATTGGCTCCACACCTATAGTCCCTGCCTGATCGCATCTCCTGGGTGGGTTGCAGGGAGGGGAACTTTAGCTGGCCACACCTTTGCGCTTTTAAGTCAGGAGTTCTCAGGACAATCACTGAGAACCAAGTAGGAGAGAGAAGTTGGGCCTTGGGACTTCTGGAAAATCTTCTGGTAAGATTTTTTTCACTTGGGAACGAACTCCTCTCCTGGGCTTGTTTTTGCCTGGGTCTGTTTCCCCTCAGAGCTTAGCTGCAAAGCTCTATAGAAGGACCCACGCACGTCTTTGAGAGTGACTCGTGGTTTCCGTAGCAGACTTTGGGGTGGGATCTTAAGACTTTTAGGCCCCGGACTAACCTAGATGGTAAATCAGGGGGGGGGACAGGTGTGGCTAATGTTGATCCTGGGGGGATGGGAGGTGCAGCTAACACTTGTTCCTCAGGGGTCCTGACTGGGCTTGGAAGGGGCCAGGGAGCTGTTCCAGCCAGACTCAGTTTGGAGCCTCCTTGGAAGTAGATCTGTGCCCTTAGGCAAGTGCTGTGAGGAGCCTCAGACTTAATCTGTTGATGTTTGAGAGGATTAAATGAGATAACCGCCTCTCCCAGGCTGGCTGCTTAGCTGGTGCTGAAGAGAAGCAGGGCCCAGGTAGGAAGGTTGGGGTGGCCAGGCAGGAAGACATGGGGGAACTCCCCCTGCAGTCGAGCCACCGCCCCTCTGGCCCCTCTGTCCACCGCCCCTCTAGCCCTTCTGTCAGGGCTGATATGAGGGAACAACACAGGCCGTGGACTCCGCCCAGCTGAGCGTGGCCAGGGCCAGGGAGAACTTGGGCCCAGAGCTGCCGGATCTCTCAGTGCCTCAAGAGAAGCAGGGAATATGGATCTGTAATATGAAATTTCCCAGTTTTAAAACTTTGGAAATCCATTAACCAAACAACTACAGAAAACACCATGCAGGCCAAGCAAAGCCTACCACCTGGTTGGTGACCCCCTGCTCAGGTGAAGGTGGCCCTGAGGACAGGTCCCCATTGGCTGCTGCAGGCCTCTCCTGGGAGGATGCTCCTCCGTCTCCCACTCGTGGGAATGGGCTGTGGGCAGACCCGGCTGCCCCTGGGAGAACAGAGCCGTCCTGCTGGGCCGCGTGGTCCTGGGCAAAGCCCTTCCCTCTCTGGGCCACAGTTTCCTAGCCTGCGAAAGGATCTAGTCTGTGGGGCTCCTGCCAGTTTGGACAGTGTGTGACTAAGCCCGCCAGGCCCGAAGGAAGATGCGGTTATTATGGAAGTGACTCTAATCAGGCACTGTGCTTCCGGGGTGTGACGCGGTGCACTCAGGCGTTCTGTGTGAGCACAGTCACAACCGTGTGTGTGAATGGACGTGTGTCATAATTGGGAGATTTGCATGGCACAGCGTACATGTTGTTTTAATAACCCTCTTCTGGAACCTTTCATTGGCCACTCTGAAAGCCGCCGGTGGGAAGCTTTCATTAATTCTCCGTGTGACCTGGGGAGAGAGAGCAGGGTCCTTCTTCCATTCCTAGTTTAAGGAAACCCACGCCCAGAGCTGGGAGGCGACTTGGCTAGACACGTGCCACTCGAGCCCTGACTCGAGTGTTGGTTCCACCGCAGTGGAACCCGTGGGTGGGGCCCGTCATTCAGTGAGGTTACGATTTAAGAGTCCCTTCTGTGTGAGGGGATGGGGGTAGAGAAAAAGGTCTCCATCCTTAATTTTCCCTTGGGAGGAGAGTGTATGAGCTCAGGCTACCTCTCTGAGCCTTGCGTCGAGGTCCCTCCCTCTCTGTCCCCTCAAATCTCTGGCCCCTGAGTCAGCCTGGCCTGTGTTCAGAACCCGGAGGCGGCGTGTCCCCCAGCTGTCGAACGTCTATTTTGCTGCCTCGCGGATGTCCACCGGCCCTCGCGGGGCCACTGCTTGCCTGGAGAGAGAGACCCCAGCAGAGGGGGAGCAGGCTTGGGTCTAAGACCCTCTCGCCCCCCCCAACCCCGCTTTTTGTGCGCCCTCCTCTTCCCTCTGCACCCCCTCACCCTGTTTTTTTCCACCTGTGCCCAGGACTGCATCAGGGTGTCCTGTCTGTGGGTGCTCCCCCCGCCCCAAGGACCCGTAAGACTGCGCCCCTGTGCTGGGGCTGGGGGGCCGCGTTTCCCGGCTGCGGCCTCCAGCAGCGCCGGGCGGGCGCGGGGGACGCGGGCCCTTTAAATCCTCCGGGGCGGCGGCGGCGGGCCGGGGATGACATCAGCGGGCGGGCCCGGGGCTCAATGGGAGCCGGCGGGCGCGCGCCGGCGGGAGCGCGCGAGCCGGCGCAGCGGGGGGGCGGGCGGCAGGGCGGAGAGGCGGCGGCGGCGGCGCGAGAGCCAGAGCCTGAGCCGGCGGCGAGCCGAGCGGAGCGGAGCGCGGCGGCGGCGGCTGGGCCGGGAGAGGCTGGCGCCGGGGCGGCTCGCGAATCCTCCGGCATCCGCCCCGGCGGGCCGCCCCGGCCCGCGGCAGCCCCCGGAGCACCGGCCCGGCACCCGCGCCTTCCCGTCGGGGTGAGTATTGGGGGGCTGCGGGCCCGCGGAGGGGCGCAAACCGGGGGGAAGCGGGGCTCCCCCCGCTCTTTGTTTTTGCCGGGAGAGGAGGCAGGGAGGCGGACACGCGCGTTCGCGCCGGGGTGTGGGGGGGCAGTCCGGGCGCCGCCCGCTCGGCCGCGAGGACAAAGGCGCGGCCGGGGACGAGCAGGAGGGTGACTATTATTTTGCAGGCTTGCGGGGGAGGCCCCGCACTCCGCCCGCCTCCGCCTCCCCCAGCTGGACCCTCCAAGGCCCCAGCTGGCCCGGGCGGCCGCCGGCTGTGATTTGGGGACGCTGAGGGAGGGGGCCGGCACCGGGGTGCTGGGGCCGCCCGGTACTGTTGATTCCGGCTTCTGTGGGTTTCTCCGGACCTTCGGCAGCGCCCCCTGCTCTCTCGGCCCGGGTGCCCCAGACCTGGGGTCAGCAGGGCTGCTCCCGCGTGTTGGATGGGGGCCTTTGGGGCTCCTGAGGTCGTGGGGTGCGTGGTCACCGGGCCACTGATTTTGTTTTCCTTTGTGGAGAGAAAGAAAGGGGTGGGGGTTATTTATCAGATCGGATTCTCCCATTTCTGTGTATGAGAAATTCGTGTTGTGCAAGTCTCCATGGAGCGGAAACTGCCTGGCTATGGTTAGAGAGAGGATTCCCAAGCCCTGTTAACACCCAAACTCAAAGTGGGGTGAGCCCCCTCCCCAACTTTTCCCTTAGTTTTCTCGCGTATTTTCTTCTTGGCATAACCTCCCTCAGGGAGAAGGATTTGGGAAGAGAGGAGAAGGGATACAGTGTCTCAAGTTGCTTCCAACAAATGCCTGTGTTTGGCTCTCCTTTGCCACTGTGTCTAGGGTGTCCCTTCAGTTTTTCTTTTAATGGTCCAGGGACAAGGGCCCTGGCTCTGGGGAAGGGGGCTCAAGGAGTGAAAAAACTGCCCATGTGCTGTGCTGGTTGGTAGTTTGTCTAATTTTTTAACCTGCTGAAACTCCTGAACCTTTACATCCGCGCCCCCCTCCCCACTTTATCTGTCCCCCCCACCCCCTACCCATGGGAGACGCAGCAAAAGAACCGGAAAGCTTCTCCCATTCTTGAATGAAGCCTTTCTCCTCTCCTCTGGGAGGCTTTGTGGGGAGTAGTGCTGGGACACTTTTCAGTTTAGGCTCTCCCAGGAGCCTTGGCCCCCTGGAGTGTGCAGGAGAGACTGGGGGTCTGGGTGGCTAGCAGAGGGGGTGTCCTGCAGGGCTGGGTGTTTGCACCCCCTCTCCCCTTCCTGTAGACAGCCCGCTGAGTGGGACAGACTGGGGGGTCATGTGCAGTATATTTATGTAAGACACCCAGACAGAGGGCACGGGTATTTATATAACCGGCGTGGGTATTTATGTAATATAGGATGCGGGTATATTTATGTTCCTTTCCTAACCTGCGGCTTTCCCGGCTGCCGTGTGTGGTCTCTGAATTGGCGTTGGCGGAAAACAGACTTTGGGGGGTGTTTGTGTGCCCACCCCTCCCCCAGCAGGGCTCACTGTGGGCCTGCTTTGCTTTCTTCCATTGGAGTGTACACACTTGGGAAGCTGGACCTGTGTGTACGTGGGGTGTGTGGCGTGTGGGTTTCCTGCAAATGTAGAGTGCGTCCTGCTGGCAGCGTGGCACCTCGGCTGGGACAGGCCAAGCATGTGGGCTGCGGCCCTTGATTGAGAGCTCGGAGTTTGTCTGGCACGGGGTGGAGGCTCCCTCCTCGTGGTTATTGGTGGAGGGCGAGTGAGCTCCCAGGGACCTGGGTGCTGGCACCGGCAGCTGGCATGCCTCCTGGGCTGTGCCGGGGCAGAGGGCTCAGGCTGTGGGATCACTCTCTCCCATCTCTCTGCCCCGGCTGGTCTGGCTGTTGGGGGCAACACTTGGCGTGGGGAAGGGGCAGATCCTCTGTGCTAGCGCAGCTGCTTTGCCATCTTCCTGTTTTGCTCCCCAGCCCTGGCATGAGATAGGTCTTGTCTGTGGGGGTGGGAGGCCTGTCCAGGTCCTAGGGAGACTTCTCCAACTGCGGGGTGGCAGGTGGCATGGCCTGTCTGGGCCTGCCCTGTCTGCAGAAGGAGCTCCCCTCCTTAATGGTCTTGATGCTGACCTCCTTGTAAGCACTCAAGGTCTCAGGGCTCCCCTCCTTCTACCTGTTTCAGGAGCCCCCATTCTCTGTTCCCCCCAACAGCTCAAACTGCCTCCAGGCCTCTGAGTTTCCTCCTCTGCTGGCCAGGAGCACAGAGTGCCCAGACCTTTGCCCCCAGCCACTAGGGTGGCCTTGGGCCCTGATGTACCTGGGCTTGGGGCACCAAGGGTCAATCATAGGAGGGAGGGAAGCTGCTTAAATCAGAGCTCCTCCCATCCCACAGGGCAGACGGCTGGAAACCTGGCTTCTGTCCCCTCAGTTGTCTACAAGGGCCCTCCTAGGTGACCCTGCATCCTGCTCTTGAGGGAAGGCAGCTCTGATCAGTTGATCCAAAGAGCTGTGTGCAGAGAGGCCCGTTCAAGGTTCTTGGTGTCATGGGTGGGGGGACGACTGGAAGGTGGGTGTTTCCTGCTTTTCCCCCGAGTGGGGTGAGATGCTGTCCTGCAGGGCACACTGGGGGCTGGCGGGGTCAGACGTCTGGGCACAGGCTGTACTTGGGAAGACCAGGCCAGGCTGTGGGAGCCTGGGGGTGACAGTGAGGGACACCGTCATTTCAGAGGGCTGGAGGGGCTGAGGGCTCCTCTGGGACCCTTCCCTTCAACTTGTCCTCCCATCCTGGAGGTTGGGCCTGTCCAGGGGTTGCCATGGAGGTGCCCCCAGGATGGTCAGGTTCTCGGCAACCCCTTCGTCCTTGATTTTCCTTTCAGAGGCTTGGTGCATTGTGACTAGCCCCCACCTTGAGAGGCGCCTGTTGGTGGGGCCCCAGTGAGTGTCCCCCAAGGTGATGCTTGCTTGGCTGTTTCTGCTGGGGCCATGTCTGTAATTCCACTTTTTTTTAAAAGACAGAGCCTCACTCTATTGCCTGGGCTGGAGTGTAGTGACGTTGTCACAGCTCCAGCGATGCTTCTGCCTCAGCACCCCCCCACCCCCCATAGCTGGGACTACAGGTGCATACCACCCCCTGCTAATTTTTCTGTTTGTAGGGATGGAGTCTCACTGTGTCGCTTAGGCTGGTGTGGGATAATCCGCCCCTTGCCTAGCTTCACAGAAACCTGTTCTCACCCTGCCTCACCCATTCCCCAGATGCAGGCGTGCAGGCTGTGCACGCTCTACCTGACACCTGGTTGCCCTCAGGCAAAGTGAGACCAAATCTCTTCCTGGACAGCAGGAGCGAGATTGTTGGTCTCCCAAGTTTGCTGTGGCTTTGCCTGGCCTTTCGTGCGCCAGGCCCCTTCCCCAGCTCCCCATTTCTCTGAATCTGGTGTTTCTGTTTCCTTCTGCAGCAAGAGTGAATCATGGAGCTACGCGTGGGGAATAAGTACCGCCTGGGACGGAAGATCGGGAGTGGGTCCTTTGGAGATATCTACCTGGGTAAGTGTTCCTGGCTCCAGCTGGATCTCCTGGGGCAGCTCTGGGGACAAGGAGGAGGAAGGACCCCAGGATTTGGGGATCTGAAGCCAGAACTTGACTCCAGTGGCGTATTTTGCCCCTAGGGCTGTCCCAGATGGGGAGGGCAGCAGCAGATCGGGGCAAGGCGGGAAGGGGGCTCCCCTCACAGTCAGGCAACGCAGCCTCTGCTTGCTGCAGGCTGGACAGAGGAGGGAATTTTTAGCCTCGATTTCCGGCTCCGGTGACCTGAGTCTCCAGCTGGGCGTGGGAAAGCACCCGTCTCTTGCCTCCTGGGAGAAGGATGCTGGTAGACAGAGAAGAGGCCTGGGCTACTGCTTGACCCCAGCCGGGCCCCCTCCTGCCTGGAATGCAGCCCAGGCAGGCTTCGGGATGGTGCAGGCTCCCCCAGTAACCTTGGGGAGAGGGCTCTCATTTAGGGAGTTTTCTCTCTGGATGTGCTTCCTGTTGAAAGTTTGAGTTTGCCTTGATGTTGTCATTTTAAACAAATCTCTGATATCTCAGCCCGGTCCTCGGCTGGGATAACCGAGGCTTGTATCTGTCAGGGCCACTTTCTCAGCTTGCTCAGGGGCACGGCCACCAGGTACAGTCTTCCTTAGCAATTGGTCCGAAGGGACAATATTTAGTGTTGGTGATTGTGGATGGGAGGGTGGGGCCTGGAGTGCTTGGAACAATGTGGCAGCCCCCACTAGGGCTTGTTCCCTTTCCTGTCCCTGTGTCCTTGGAAGCAGGCTAGACCTGCACCTGTGCCTCAGTTTCCCCCCTTGGAAAACAAAAATAAATCATTTCTGTCCTGGGCAGAGAAAACCAACAAGTCTGCATGTCATGGTCATTAGTTCAGAACTTGGGGGTTTCTCTTACCCAGTGGTCAGAATCCCTGCCCCCTTGGAGTATGAAATCTTCTCAGGGAACCTTGGGGGACAGGGGAGGGGACATGCACATTCCCTGAGCACTTGCCTACAGGGTACTTTCTGAACCAGGTCTCCCCTCATAGCAGCCCCTGGAGATGTTTCACACCTCAGGAAAGCGAGGTGCAGCATGGTGGAGTTGGCCTCCGAGCCTGCTCTAGAAAACTAGTGGCAGCAGCCTGGATGCCCACAGCCCTGTACGGGAGTGAGAGAGTGTGTACGCCAGAACACGGGAGGGAGGCGCTAGGCAGACCTGGGTTCCAGACTGGCTTTGTGTGGCTGCTCTGCCCCAGTGTCCCCATCTGTAAAGTTTGCGATGATGCCACCTGACTGACCAGGAGCTGTAAGGAGGCACAAATGAAATGACAGATGGGAAAGCATTTTGTGAACCGTAAAGTGCCAGCCGGATGTGCAGTTCACTTGCGCGCGTTCACCCTGCCCTGTAAACACCTGGGGCTCAGAGCGGAGGGAGGGAGAGCCTGCTGCAGAGCAGGTTTAAAGGTTTCTCCTGTGCCCGAGCTCCTGGAGAGGCAGTTGTCACGTGTGTTCGCTCTGCCCAGTGCCCGGCATGAGGCTTTCCCACAGAGGGTGTTCACGGAGGGCCTGCCACGTAAACGAATGAGAAAACGGAACTGTAACGTGCCAGGCATGCGCAGCGGCCTCACTCACGGCGGGATAGAGACAGGCTGAGATCGGGGGGCCAGCCCAGGTGTAGATCCCCAGTCTGCTCTTCCTTTGCTGTGTGACCTGGGAAAAGTCACTTCTATCTTTGAGCCTCAGCATTCTCATCCAAAATGGGGGCACCCATCTCCTTACTGCTAATGAAATTGGGGTGGGTATAGAGGACCCTCTTTTTGTTGAGGCTCTTGGGCTCGACTGAAGCCTGGAGCCACTGGCTCAAAGGCAGAAGGTGCTCCTGGCACAGACACACTCCTGCTCCTAGATAGCATCTGGTCTAGGTCCCTCTTTTTCCAGAAGGGAAACTGAGGCCCATGGCGGGGATCAGCCCACGGTCACTCAGCAAAGCCCGTGTCCTTGGTTCTTGTTGTGAGACCTCCCTGGGGACAGGACTTCCTGTTTATCTGCATAGTTAACTCGTTCATTTTAAAACTAGGTCCGAGTTTAACTTCTTTTTTGTACTGGCTCCGGAGTAACCTAGGTTTAGGTGCTGGGCTTTCTTTTTACTAGCTGTATGTCTTTGCAAATGGTGACCTCTGCCAGACTTGACTTCCCCATCTTTGAAATGGGGTTGCAAGAAGTAATGAGGTCCCCGTGTATAAAGCACCTGTGTGTGCCAGCCCTGTAGGAGCGTGTTTACATGGGCTCCCACCCTGGGTCTTGGTTGGAACTTGCTGCTTTCAAAGGATCCAGCTCCTCTGGGCCCGAGTCAGTTCCACCGACTGTCCAGCCTTCTCCAGGTGTGGGGACCTTGGTGAGGGTGTTCTGCCCTGACTCGCCCTCCTGGGTCCCTGACTTGCTGGTTTGGGCACAGTGGTGATTGTAGGGCCTTCCCAGCTGGCCTCGCTGGCTTCATTTGTTCAAAGCTCTGGCCACATTCTTGTCCCCGGGGCTGGGCCAGGGCCTGACTCCAGATGGCCTCTGCAGGTGGGGCTGGACACAGCCTCCAAGCCCTGCTTTCCAGGAACAGCTGAGGGCCCAGTGCACTGTGGGTGTGGCTGCAAGGCCCCCAGCTCCTCTTCAGGTCCCCCCGCCCTGACCCTAGCATCATGAAGGGGCAGCTAGGAGTAGGGGCCTGCTATTTTAAGGGCTTCAAGTTGGCCATCCAGGGTCCAAACCTGGGCTTACTCGCTAGCCATGCGTCCTGGGGAACTGTCTAGACCTCTGAGAGTGTCTGGTCCTCAGCTCTAAAAGGGGCGGGAAGCAGTGCTGCTCTGGCAGGTGGTTATGCAGGGAGAGTTAGTGCAGGGGACGCTCCTGCTAGGTGGCCCCTGCTAGGCTTCTGCTAGGTGGCAGTTAAAGTGGCTACTGCTGCTGTTGCTGGGGCGGATGGGCTTTACCCCCTGTCCTCCAGCCCAGCCAGGTCCCTGATTGTGTCTGTGTGGGTGTGTGGAGTGAGTCCCATGTTGGGCTGGTCACCCGTCTTGCCACCTGGAATTCACAAGGTCCCAGCTCCGCAAGGGCTGGCCAGGTCCAAGCCCTTTTCTGCGTCCAATTTGTTTTGGTGACTTGCCAGTCCTCCCACAGAGTCACTGTAACTAATGGGTCGTGTTCTGTTCCTGAAATCGGGCAGTTCTTCCAGCTTCCAGGCCTTTGCGCGCGGGGCCCCCTGCAGCTACAGCTAGCCCACTTGCGCCCAGACAGAGCATCCGCCAGGAAACCTTACCTGGAACTGAAATGGAGAAAGGAGCAGGGGCTTTGGGGACTAAGTTTCAAACCCTCGCACTGCCCCAGCCAGTTCTGTGTGACCTCAGTCCAATTACTTAACCTCTCTGAACCCCAGCTCTGTGGTTGCGAGGAGTAGGGGAGCTCAGAGGAAAGCCTGGCAGCTTCCCGACAGAACTCAGAGGCAACCAAGGGGCCCAGTGGCAGCTGTGGCAGAAGGTTTCCAGCACTCAGTGGGGGTCAGAAGATTTCGCCTAACAGCCTGGGTCCCTATCCTTGGGAAGTTGTGTGGCATATGGTCATTTGACCCTTGGCGTCTTCCGTTTTTCCACGTGTCAAATAGAAATATAAACAGTAGTACTTGCAGGGTGGGGTAAGGTTCAAGGGGATGAAAGCCCCTCCACGCTCCACTCCCCCGCACTCTCCTTCCTGCACACGGCTCTGAACCACCAAGGGCCGCAGGCCCTGCCTCCAAAGTGTCACCCTGCCTGGGCAGGGCCACCCTTGGCTCTTGCCTGGACAGCTACAGTGGCCTCCCCAGGCCTCCCTCTCCCTGGCTAGCCTCCTAGTCCTTTCTGGTACACCAGAGAGTCTCAGTGCAGGGTGATTTTTGTCCCCCACGGGACATTTGGCTAGACCTCCATACCTTTTGGTCATTACAGTTGGGGCAGGGTGCCTGCTGGCATCTAATGGGTCGAGGCCAGGGATGCTGCTAAGTACTCTACAGTGCTTAGGGCAGCCCCACAACAAGGAATTAGCCAGCCCCGAATGTCAGTAGGGCCGAGGTTGAGAAGCCCTGTGGTCAGACACCTGGACCTGCCCCTGGAGCTTCAGGCAGGATCTTAACTGCTGTTCGAGAGCCTTCAGATGTCTCCCCACCCACCTTGTCCACTGTCGTCTTCAGCTACCCCAAAGGCCCACACGGCACCAAACCACTCAGAGTTGGCTGCACCCCCTCCTGCCAGGCCTCTGCACGCACGGTGACCTCTGCCTGGCACAGCCCTGCTCGAGTGCGCGGTGGCCCTTGCAGCTTCCCTCCAGCCAGGCTCTGCTTTCCCCGTAGCCTTGCTCACTCCTTCCTTTCCTTCCCCTGGCCTGTGAGTGCCACCAGCTCAGCCCTGTGGCCCAGGGCCGGTGCATCCCATCCCACATGACACTGTGGAGCACTTACGTGTGCCAGGTACTCTTTTAAGCATTTTTAGTGAGCCAAATATTGTCATCGGTTTATGGATGGGGCACCTGGGACCTCAGAGGGCTGAAGTGACTTGTCCGAGGTCCCCAGCTAGTAGCTGGCAGAGTCAGGATTTGGGCTTCAGCGGTTGGCTCTGGAGCCCACATTCTCAGCCACCGTGCTCTCCTACCGCGTGTGCCGGCGGGGAGACAGCATGGCCAGGGAGCCCCTCGCCCCCTCCCGTGGCACGTCCTCACAGCGCCCTGGAAACCTGTGCAGCTCACCCGGTGATGGGCCTCGACGTGTCAACAACACTTTACAGTTTGCAAAACACTTTCTCTCCCATTGTTGCCTGGGTTTAGTCATCTGTTCTGTTTTTCTTTTCTTTTATGTGGTTCAAAAATCGACATACCTACTCAAAACCAAAAATCCAAACACAAAAATGTGTTAAGTGAAAGAAGCTGATCACAGAAGATAACATGTAGTTTGACTCCGTTTCTGTGGAATACCCAGAGCAGCAAATCCGTAGGGAGGAAAGTCGATCACTCTTGCAGGGGCTGGGGTGCCAGGGGGAGACAGGGCCTGACCACTAAAGGGCACTGGTGTTCCGGGGGAATGAAAATACAGTCCCTTGGTATCTAAGGGGATTGGTTCTAGGACCCCATCGGATACCAGGATTCACGGGTATGAAAGTCCCTGCACTAAGATCCCCCGTATTTGTGTACAACCTACACACGTCTTCCTGGATACTTGAAATCGTCTCTCGATTATTTATGACACTTAGTACAATGTAAATGCTGTGTAAATAGTTGTTAGACTGTATTTTGTATTTGTGGATTTTTTTATTCTGTTGTTTTTATTGGGTTTCCCCCTTATTTTTGACCCACGTTGCTGAATCTGCAGATGCAGAGCCTGTGGACACTAAGGACCCCGTGTTCTAAGACGGGTAACGGTGACACTTGCACAACCGTGTGAGCACACTAAACACCACTGAATCCTACACTTTACCTGAGTGAATTGAAGAGTACGTGAATTATGTCTGGATGAAAGTGTTAAAATAAATCACAACTTGCAACGTAGTATCCAGTTGCCCAGCTGAGCCGCCCAGCTCTGCCCAGTCTTTACTGGTTTCTCGTGTTTCTGTTCAGTTTCTCTATGTAGATACAGCCAAGCGCCCATATTACTTCCCCACCTTTTGTAAAAAACTGAAATAACAGGGAACTGTTTTGTACTTTGTTTTTTCACTTCCTGTATCTTGGAGATCTTTCCACTTGTGTGCAGAGAGAGCTTCCTCATTCTTTTTCCAGTGCATTCGGTTTTATGGATGGGCTGTTCTTTATTTATTTAGTCCCCGCTTAACGGACATTTGGGTTGTTTCCAAGGCTTTGCTATTGCAGACAGCCTACAGCGGACAGCCTCCTCCAGGCCTTGTTTTGCGCCATGAAGGCATGTCGGGTAAACTCCCAGAAATGGGGTTGCTGTTGGGAGCTTCGTGGTGTCAAATCACCCTCCAGTATGGATTTATCAGTTCAGGCTTTGGCCACCTGGAGGAGTGCCCCACTGCCCCAAAGTCTGCCAAATGGTGTTATCTTGTGGGACCTTCGACAACCCTAGGTGAAAAAAATGGTCTTTCAGGGTCATTTTAATTTGCATTTGTCTTAGAAGGAGGTTGAGCATCTTTTCCTATGAGTAAGCCATTTATTTTAATGGTTTCTTCCCCTGTGAAAATCTGTTGTCCTGTTTCCTATTGAGCCTTTCTCCTGTTTTGTAAGAGCTCGTGTTATATATTAGCTCTTTGCCTGTGGTAAGAATTGGGAGCGTGTTTTTCCTAAATGACTTGATTTCTAGTGTTTTTGCCATGGGGAAGGGATTCTTTTCTTTTCTTGTAGAGGAGGGAGTTTTTTGTTGTTGTTTCTTCTTTAATGACTTCTGGATTTTCAGTCAGGGATTAGAAAAAGCCTTGCCTAACCTTACCAAGGTTATAAGGCAATTCTCCCTTTTCTTGAACCTTTCATAGTTTTGTTTTTTATTAAACGTCGATGTGAAGTGGATGTGAAGAATGTGTGTGAATAGTGCGTGGTGTGAGGCACCTTCCCTGGCAGCGCCCGGCTGGAGGAAGAGGCCTGCCTGTCGCCTTGAAGGCCCCTGGGCACCCTTCCCCTGCCCCACCCCCACTATCTGACGTCTAACATTTTTCCTTTTTGTTAGAGTTTTAACACATTTACGTCCCTAAACTCTGTATTGTTCAGTGTCGGTGCCTGAGTTCTCGCTCTTATTTCTCTAATTGAGGTGAAACCCACAGAACATACAATTTACCGTTTTAAAAGTGTACAATTTGGTCTCATGTGGTACATCCACAGTGCGGTGTACCCCCCACCCTGTCTAGCTCCAAAACTTTCCGTCGCCCCAAGAGGAAGCCTCAGGCCCCACGGCAGGTGTTCCTTGTGGTCCAGCCTGGCAGCCCCTGGCAGCCGCTGCTCCACGTCCCGTCTCTGTGGATTTGCCCGTTCTGGACATGTCGTGTGAACGGGATCGCAGCATTCGTCCTTTCGCATGGGCTTCTTTGGGCGTGTTTCTGAGGGTCATCTGCGTTGCGGCGTGTAGCGCAGGGCTCCGTTCCTTTTTACAGCTGAATAGTACTCCACTGCATGGTGTGCCCCGTTCCGTTCATTCGTCTGCGACGGACACCGGGTGGTGTCCAGCTGTGGCTGCGGTGAGGGGGGCCACCGCCTGCTCTCTTTCACCCCGGGTGAGCAGCTGGGCGTCTCCCAGGCACTGGGTGAGGGCGGCCTTATTCCTTTTCACTGCCCGTGGGGCCCCTTGTGTGACAGCACTGCTGCTGCCACCCTGCTGTGGTCCTTTGGGTTGTTGTTCCCGTCCCCCTGGTGCACTTGTGGTTCTGAAGGACATTGGCTTGGGAGTGCAGTTGCTTGGTCCAGGGAGTGTTTATGTTCAACTTTACAACATAAATGCAAAGAATTCGTGCCAACTTATACCACCCTCCCCCACACACACTTTTTTTCCTTACATACAAACTCTGGGTGCACTTGGGCTTTTCCCTGGTGTAATGGGAGCTATGGCCTTTGCTCAGTTGGCTAGCTGGTCGATCCAAGGATGTGTATTGAATAGTCCCGTCTTTTACCCTGATCTGAGGTGCCGGCTTTGTCCTGCCCTAAATTCTCCCCGTGGTTGTGTCCCCACTGGACTTTCTGTTCTGTCTGTGCTAACGACACTATTTTAGCTCCTGCGTCTGGAGTCACTTCTGGCGCCCAGAAGAGACTCCCTGCCTCAGCCCAGCCCTTCATCTTGTTCCCCCCACCCTGTTGTTATAGCTGGGGGAACTGAGGCGAGGTGCAGTTTGGGTTTGGTCTTTCTTGTGACTTGAGCCATGGGGTGGACCCAGGCAGAGAGCTGGACCTGGTGTGTGTGAGGGTATTGTGTTAGCCAGACCTGCTCGAGAACCTAGGAGTAGGGGCAGGAGAGGTAGAGATCTAGGCAGGACCCTCTTACCTAGACTCGGAGGCCGACAGAGCTGGGGTTGACTCTTGAGCCTGCCATTTACTGGTCCTGTGACCTAGAGCAGGGTCTCGGTTTTCTCCTCTGTAAAGTGGGGATGAGAATCAGCTGAGCTGCTGGGATCGAACGTGTGGGGCTGCTTTTGAAGGGGTTGGCGTTGATGTGAGCGGGGTAGTGGGCTGGGTATTGCCTCCCGTCACCCTGCAGTTCAGGGCTGTCTCAGTATGTACAGCTCCCCACCCCTCTCGGGCCCCTGCCTCCACACCCCACCTCAGCCCGACACACCCACTGACCCGGCCTTTCTCCAGAATTGGGCAGAGTCCTGAAGGTCAGCAGTCCCCAGCCTTTTTGGTACCAGGGACCGGTTTCATGGAAGGCAGTTTTTCCACAGATAGGTAGGAGTGATGGGGTGGTTCGGGGATGATTCAAGCACGTTAGATTTATTGTGCAGTCAGACCTCTCTGCTAATGACCATCTGTATTTGCAGCCGCTCCCCAGCGCTCGCATCATGGCCTCAGCCCCACCTCGGATCATCAGGCATTAGATTCTCATAAGGAGCCGCAACCTAGATCCCTCGCATGGGCAGTTTATGGTAGGGCTCGAGTCCCTGTGAGACTAATGCTGATCTGACAGGAGGCGCAGCCCGTGCGGTGAGGTGAGCGGTGGGGAGCGGCTGCAAATACAGATGAAGCTCGCCCCAGTCACCTGCTGCTGTGCGGCCTGCTCCCATAGGCCATGGATTGGTGTCTGGCCTGGCGGTTGGGGCCTGCAGCCGTAGGTGATCTGTGAGCCTTTTGCATCCCTGCCTGTCCTCCACCTGTCCAGCCTTCTTGCTGCCTCCTGCCTGTGGCATCTTTCCTTGGCACTCGCTGCTCTTCTCTCCCCAGGAAGTCCTTGTCCCTCCTCCTGCCGTGCTCTAGGCACTCGCCCCAGGCTGCGTGCTCACCAGACCTTGAAGTGCTGAGTGCGGCACCTGGGGCTGCCTGGCCACCGAGGATGACCCTGGTCTCTTGTCTCCTCTGCCCCGGCAGGTGCCAACATCGCCTCTGGTGAAGAAGTTGCTATCAAGCTCGAGTGTGTGAAGACAAAGCACCCCCAGCTGCATATCGAGAGCAAGTTCTACAAGATGATGCAGGGGGGAGGTGAGAGCCGAGCTGGGGAGGGGTCCGGAGCTGTGACAGTGAAGAGGATGTGGGGCTGGGGGCAGAGGGGAAGGGGGTGACCACCCCTGACGTTCCCCTGTCCGGCCCCCAGTGGGGATCCCGTCCATCAAGTGGTGTGGCGCCGAGGGCGACTACAACGTGATGGTCATGGAGCTGTTGGGGCCTAGCCTCGAGGACCTTTTCAACTTCTGCTCCCGAAAGTTCAGCCTCAAGACGGTGCTGCTCCTGGCCGACCAGATGGTGAGTCCTCCACCTGCCCACCCTGGCCAGGTGCCTGTGGGCCCTGCCAAGCAAGCCGCTTCCCATCCAGCCTCTATTTCCCCTTTGGGCCAGCGGGCCCAGGAGGATGCTGGAGGAGGGGACAGTGGCAGAGACAGAGGACAGGCCTGGTTCCTGGACTTAGGAGACCTTGACCTCCAGCTATAGAATTCTGGAGGTGTTTGTTTAAAATGCAGATTCCAGGCCCAGCTCCAGGCTCCTTGGATAGGGCTTGGGACTCTGTCCTTGGGTGATTTTAGAGCCTGGGGTCAGACAGACCTGGATCCTGTCCCAGAGCGGTGACCGTTAGTGAATTGCTAAGCCTCTCTGAGCCCCGGCTGCCTCATGTGAGTCTCCCCTTTGTCGGTTGTTGTGGGATTAAGCGGGAGGCCGAGCAGCGCCGGGCCAGAGCGGGCCCCGCTGGCAGGCAGTTGGCAGGTCCTAAGCTGTTCGTAAGCGCAGAGGAGCAAAGCTTCTTAAAAATAGGAAACCTCAGAATTTGGGGCCTGGAATGGAACAGGGAGACCTTGTGCAGAGGTTTTAGTCTTAGCCTGCGGCTGGCCTGCAAAGGCTCTGCGGTTTAGGTTAAATACGTGCCAGCGCAGGGCCGTCAGAGTCTCCAGGGTGTGAGGCGCTCAGGAAAGGGTCAGGCGCTGCTCAGCCTTTCGAAGCTGGAGGCCCAGAGCATGCGACCTCCAGAGAACATGTCGTGCGCATGGATGTTAGTTGCAGTGTTTAAAGATTGCTCACGGGAAAGAAAAGGCTGTGTGTCGGCCTGACTTTAGAGTCCTGTCTTTGTGCTCCATCTCTGTCACGCCTGCCCTCCCGTCCGCCGAATCTGGTCACCTCTCTGACTCTGGCTGCCCAGATCCCACGAGGGTAGAGCCAGACAAGGGTTCCAGGGGGCCTTTCCAGCTCCATCTTCATTTCTGGGTGTTACCATCAGCTTTCTTACCTGGCTCTCTTTCCCTGTCTCATAACAAACTTGCTGGCTTCCTCCTTCAGAGTTCGTCCTCATGTCACTTCTTCCAGAAAGCCTTCCCTGACCTGCCCCTTGACATTGTCCTTCGTAGTGGAATGCAGATCTTTCTCCCTCACCAGGGCAGGGACCACGTGTGCATTTTCCAGCTCTGTGGCCCCAGCCCTCAACCCCCCAGCCCAGGCCTGGCTCAGGGCGCTTGGTAAAGGCCCCTCCGTGGAACACCTGGTGAATGGCTTGCTCTACCTCCCCTCCCCCAGATCAGCCGCATAGAGTACATCCACTCCAAGAACTTCATCCACCGGGACGTCAAACCCGACAACTTCCTCATGGGGCTAGGGAAGAAGGGCAACCTGGTCTACATCATCGACTTTGGCCTGGCCAAGAAGTACCGGGACGCCCGAACCCACCAGCACATCCCCTACCGGGAAAACAAGAACCTGACTGGCACTGCCCGCTATGCCTCCATCAACACCCACCTGGGCATCGGTGAGCAAGCCAGGCCCGGAGCAGAGTGCACCTGTGGCTCCTGGCTAGGGCCTGGCTTTCTCGAGCCCTCCCGCCCCCAGCTTGGTTGGAGGCCTCTGGGCACTTTTCTAGTGAGCCTCATTGAGAAAGTCCCCACCCCGTCTGTCCCCAAGCCTGAACCTAATCTGGACTTACACAAAGTTGGGTCCTCCCCCTCGCATGCCTGGCTTCACTCTCACTGCGGCCCCGTGGGTTGGCGAGGACGTTTCCCTGCTGCGCAGGCTGGAAACGCAGGCTCAAGCTTCACTGAGCCCAAGGTTGTGCAGCTGAGTGAAAGCCAAAGCTGGATTTGACCCCAGCCCCATCTGATGCCAAAACTTTTGCGCTTTCCATGGAGTAGGCCAGGCAAGGAGGGTGTGGGTGCCCACTCATAGTCGTTGAATGATTAAGTGCCTGAGCTGGAAAAACTAGGCCCAGATTGAGTTAAGAAAGCTCTTCCTCGGGCCCTATCTCTGTAGGAGGGAGATAGCAGCAGTACCTGTTTAAAACAGGGTTGCTGCGAGCCAGCATGTGATGGGGTGCAGGGTGCACAGTGAGGGACATGACCCGGAGGAGGAGCTGGGGGCCTGAGTGGACCCTGCCCCCGACCTTGCCCTTGATTCTCTGTGCAGAGCAAAGCCGTCGAGATGACCTGGAGAGTCTGGGCTACGTGCTCATGTACTTCAACCTGGGCTCGCTGCCCTGGCAGGGCCTCAAAGCAGCCACCAAGCGCCAGAAGTACGAGCGGATCAGTGAGAAGAAGATGTCAACACCCATTGAAGTCCTCTGCAAAGGCTACCCCTGTGAGTAGCCCCGAGTAGCCTGGGGACCCCTGAGGCCCTTTCCGTGGGGAAGATAAGGCCACACAAATCCCGTGCGGGACTTCCACAGCCTTGGCGCCAGCACATTAATCGTGGGCTCTCTGCCGCTGCCCAGGCACAGCTGGGAGGCCTGGGCTCCCCTGGCCTGGCTCCTCTGTCCCGAGTGTCCTCAGCCCATGTTCTTGCCTTACTCCCAGGGCCCTCCCCCCAACCCCGACTCTTTTTAAAAGGAAGTGGAAGTTTTCCTCCTGTTGCTTAGGTTGTGTCGGGAGGTCCCGTCCGGCTCTTGAGTGTCCTTTGAGCGCATGACAGCCATTGTTCTGTGGGCTCTGTGATGCCCGAGAGCTTGGGAAGGGCAGGCGAAGGCACTCTCGCCCACGGTCCGCAGGTCCTCACTCCTCCCGTTTCCAGAGGCTCTGCTGTCCGGCGGGCTGCGGTTTTATCCCCTTGGGGGGACTGTAGTTCTCTTGTCTCTTCATCCTTCCCCCCCCCAAACTGAAAGCATTTGCAGAGATGGTGGGTGGTGGAATGGCTCTGCCTGGGGGGCTCTGGGAGCACGGCCTCACGGCAGCCTCCTCTGTCCCCTGTGACCCCCCTCAGCCGAGTTCTCAACATACCTCAACTTCTGCCGCTCCCTGCGGTTCGACGACAAGCCCGACTACTCCTACCTGCGCCAGCTCTTCCGCAACCTCTTCCACCGGCAGGGCTTCTCCTACGACTATGTCTTCGACTGGAACATGCTCAAATTCGTGAGTCACCTGGAGGCCACAGCGGGCTTGGGGGACTGGACGGGGAAGGCCCTGACTCCTAGGGCCAGAGTGACGTGGTGGCGGGCAGGCCTCCCAGCGTGCGGGAGGTATGAGCTGGACAGTGCGGCCGAGCTCACTGGGGTCCCAGAGCCCCCTGACCCCAGGCTCCTCAGTGCCTGCGGGGTGCTGTCTCCCACCAGACCGAGGAGGACCTGGCTTGGCCTCGAGTCCCTCCTGGGTTCGTGTGGCGGGGCCTGGGTGGTGCTGGCGGGCTGCCTTGCTGCCTTGGCCCTTGCCTCCGCCGCCCTGCTGCTCTTGTTCTGCGCGTCCCAGGCGGCTGCCTCCGCCACGGCCCCTCTAGCTGGCCTGGACCGTTTCATAGTGGTTTCTTTCTTCTTGGTCATGGGACCCTGGGTCTTGCTAGGCAGCAGTTCTGTCTCCCTCTTTTAAGGGTCCTGGGGGTGGGGTGGGGAGCAGGGTTCGTCAGCCGTGCCCGGAGCTCCGGAATCTGTGAAATTGTATGTCTTGTTTCACGTCTCTTCTGGAAAGGGGGCTGCCTCGAGCCAGGCTCAGCCCCGAGACAGCGAAGCCATTGCACCATTCTGTCCCCGCCCCTGTCCCTGTGCCGGGCCCACGTTCCCACCTACGTACTGGTAAGGACCCTCCGAGGCCTGGCCTTTCCACAGTTTGCCACTTGGCCAGCGAGCGCGAGAGGCCGAGCCTCAGCTGTGCTCTCTTTGTCCCTTCCAGGTGCCCGGCGCCCTTGGGCACCCAGGGCCCCCCAGATAGGCCTGTGGAGGAGGTGGAGGAGCTGCCCCCCCAAAACTACTGGCCTGTGGTCTGGACTCCAGGGCCCCATTTCTGACATCGCCAGGTGTGCCTGAGCCCATTGGGGCCAGGCCTGAGGAAGCATCCTCTGGGACGATGGGGGCACCCCCTATTCCCAAGAGGTGGCAGTGCAGAGGAGAGGGCCTGGCGGAAAAGGCCCTGCCTCAAGATTCTCGGGAGTGAAGCAGCAGCCTGAGGGCCAGGACAGAGCCTGGAGGAGAAGTGACGGCCACTGCCCAGAAGGGGCCTGGTAGGAATGGACACCAAGAGCAGGCTCACGGCTAGACCCCAACGGCGGCCTCTGTACTGAACGTGAACTTATTAAACTCCTACCCTGCTTTATCCTGCTGTGCCTCTGCCTTCCTGCGGGCCCTCGGCCACTCTGCCACGTGCTCAGGAGCCAGGCTCTGTTCTGGACGTGGAGGTCGGCTCGCTGGGCTTGGGCTACTCTTCTCTCTGGGTTTCAGACAGCGGCCTGGTCCTGGTCCCTAAGGAGGAGGACAGAGGTTGGGCAGAAGATGTGGGTCTCACAGGCCAAAGACTTCAGGGAGAAGCCTCTGTTGCCCTCCCATGCAGGGGTAGGGGTGGGAGATGGACAGGGGTGGGGCACGCCTTCTCTTTCATCCGAGACCACCTGGATCGGAGTGTGGCCCAGGGCACCCGGGGCCAGCTCTTCTCACCTCAAGGCATTGGGCACTGGGCATTCACTCGTTGCTGGAAAAAGTCAGTCCTGACTCTGATTCTGAGGCGGCCTCAACCCTTCGGCTCAGCTCCAAGAATGGGTTTTTCATTCCCCAGACCTCTGCCTTCCAAAATGGTAGCCACTGGCTACATGTGCTTAATTTTTAACTAATTAAAATTAATCAAAATAGAAAATATAATTCCTCAGTCATATTCGACACATTTCGAGTTCTCAGGAGCCACAGGTGGCCACCTTGTCCAGCAAGACAGATGTGACCATTGCCTTCATCATCCCAGAATGTTCTGTGGACAGCGCCGCGCTGGCTGCCTCTGTCGCGGAGCCTCTCATGGGACTGTCCAGTCACCAAGATTCTTCTCAAGCCAAGCCAGGAGCACCCTCCCCACCTGTTGCTGGCACTGTGACCCCCTTCCTGGGGTCCCCTTGGGGCAGGTCCTGGAGTCAGAAGCTGGGCAGCGGCGCCTACAGCATTTTTCTCCACTTTCTCTGGCCCATTGCTGCTTGACCACTTCAGCAGTCCCTGGCAGGAGCATCTGCAGGACGTGCCGTTGGAACCTTCCACCCCTTCACACCCAGGCCAGGCCCCTCCCGTACCACCCTGTCCTGCGGAATCCCTCACTAGCGCCTGGCAGCAGGCAGGACGCTCTACTGGGTGCCAGTCAGCTGCAGACTCTCCCATGGGGAGGATCCTGCCCCTGACCTCCTTGGAGTGGCTCCCCGTGGTGTTGGGCATGGGGGTGCTGGGATCCCTGGAGCCCCGGCGTCTGGATGCCGATCTCCGCACACACTGGCACTGTGTTCCGAGGTCTGGCCAGTGGCCAGGAAGAAATCCACATGTGGACAGGTCCATACAGCCAGGGGCGGACGCCTGTGTGACGTGGATGGACTTTTGTGTTTTCTTGCGGGGAAATAAAGGCCAAAAAAGCTCCTTGATATGCATTTCTTGAGGCGCGTGGGTTGGATTGAAATGGGGAGAGTAGTTTACCTCCTTTTCTGAGGCGGGCATTGGCCTGAGCCTGCTGGTGTTCCAAAGGGCTGGAGCCACAGGGCTGTGCACCTCGGAGCAAATCTCTTAGCCTCAGTTTACCTAGCTCCGGGTCAAAATCGACCTGCCTTACAGAGCCGATGTGCCTCTGTCCACAGGTGGTTTAATAAGTAGGGGCCACAGCTCTTATTATCCCTCAGGCTCTGCTGTGGCTCTGGCTGAGTCACCCTTTGCCACCTTCTGACTGCAGGGGTAGGAGCCCAGGTCGAGGACCAGAGGTCAGGAGCTGGAGCCCTGGGGCTCCCAGGCCTGCCCGACAGGCTTCTGGGTGGGAGGATGGGGAAATGTGCTCCTCGTGTTCTGCTAAGGCAGGTCTCTGAACAGCATCCTTTTGGCGCGCAGAGAGCAGAGTGGGACCAGGTGGCAGCGGCCTGACCCCCGGCTCTGGAGCTGTGTGGCTCCAGGCAGTCATGAGGCTCTCTGGACCTTGGTGCCTCACTAGGATTCAGGGATCATCCTGATTCTAGCCACTGCTTTCTGGAGTTAGGATGGAGCCCAGCCCCGCCCCATTTTTGGCCAGTCCCCTGGGAGAGACATGGGTTGCAGAAGCCCCACACCACGGCCCACGAGCAAGCCCCCAACTCAGCCTACAGCTCTCTCCTCCACAGATGCGGCCCCCCTCCTGCCAGCCCCCCGCCCTTCTCTGTGGACGCCCCCAGGACCAACTAGGTAACGCAGCGGGCGCTGCCCCCTCGCCTGCTCCTCTCTGGGCCTTTCTTATTTCCTCTTGCACAGGGGCCCCCGGGGCTCAGGGAACCTCTTCCTCCATCCGGCACCTAGCCCCCTCTTCTTCTCCAGCTCCCCCTGAGCCCCTGTCCCAAGGCAGGCAGCATCTGTGGGTCCCCTGGGCCTCCTGCTATGGCCGCCACAGAACCTGCCAGAAGCCATTGTAGGTCCCCGGGCAGGGAATGACAGCCCTCTCATGAAAAGAGCCCCTGGCTGTGCACCAGGAGACCTGGTTCAAGTACTGGCCCAGCCTTCAACTAGTTCTGTGACTGGGCCTGTCCTTTCCCCTCTGGGGATACCCCTTCCCTGTCTACCAGTGGGCCTCTGAGCACCTGCCCTGCTCAGTGTGGAAACCCTGAGGGGCCGAAGGCTCTTGGTACACAGAGGGGGCCAGGGCAGGTCCTAGCCTTGGGTCAGGAGGGCCAAGGGGTGTCCTTGGTCATTCTGGGGACATCAGCCCTCCTGGCTGTGATTGCAGCCCCATGAGACAGGGGCAGACTGACCTTCCTCTGGCTCTCGGATGCCTGCTTTCCCCTCCGGGTGGTTGTGTGTCTTCGTTTCTCTGCTATGCGATCGTGGATCGTGGTTTCCTACTCTGGGGAGCAGGCTGGACTGGAGGGAGATGCCCACCTGGCCTCCCTTGCTCTGCCCTGTGGGGTGCTGGGTCCCAGAGCACCCTGGCCTCCAGGGCTGACGTCTCATCCCGTGTCCCTGCAGGGTGCATCCCGGAACCCCGAGGACGTGGACCGGGAGCGGCGAGAACACGAGCGCGAGGAGAGGATGGGGCAGCTGCGTGGGTCCGCGACCCGGGCCCTGCCCCCTGGCCCCCCTACGGGGGCCGCCGCCAACCGGCTCCGCACTGCAGCCGAGCCTGTGGCCTCCACCCCAGCCTCCCGCATCCAGCAAGCTGGTGAGCGGGGCCTCGGGCAGTGGCGGGTCCGGGGGCTGCGGGCTCTTTTAGTGCCCACTTTGAGGGCAGCTTCCGTCCTCGTCCCCCAGGCAATACGTCTCCCAGAGCGATCTCACGGGTCGACCGGGAGAGGAAGGTGAGTATGAGGCTGCACAGGGGCGCGCCTGCCAACGTCTCGTCCTCAGACCTCACTGGGCGGCAAGAGGTCTCCCGGATCCCAGCCTCACAGGTGAGCTGCCCTCACCCCAGCCACCCAGTCCCTCTGCGGCACATGGCTGAGCCGCAGACCCTATAGACGCTCCCCAGTGCAGGCTCAGGGAGCAGTGCAGGCTCTGCTCTGTTCTCTCCTGACGCTAATAACCGTGGAGCAGGCCCCTTATGTAGAGCCCAGGGTTCATCTTATCGAGTCTTCTGAGGACCAATTAGCCCCGTTGAGCAGAGTCAGAAATCAGGGTTCAGAGAAGTAACTCACCCCAGCGGGTGGCAGAGCTGGGATCCAGCCTTCACTGCTGGGGGCCCAGCCCCGGTGGGCAGCAGGGACTTGGAGATGAGGTGCTCATGGTCCCTGCCAGCAGGCAGCCCCCCAGGAGTCCCCGTCAGCACTGGCGGCAGAATGGGATGGAGGGCTGGGTGAGGTCCCATCCCGTGGCTCCACTTAAGCGCCATGTTTGAACTAAGACAGCTGAGAAGGGGCATCCCTGGTTGCCCCCGGTCGGTGGGTGGGAGACCTGCCCTCCTATTGCCTCCACTCGGGGGTGGCCTGGAGCGGTCAGTTGGGCCCTGATCTTATTTACGAAACAGGGTCATGGGATCATACACGCCTTCCCCTGGCTTCAGGGGCTTGGTGGGGGCGGGGTGGAGCACCACAGTGGGGACAGACTTGCCAAATCACCATTGCCAGCACCTGAGGGACTTGACTTGAAGCTTGTGCTCCTATCTCTTCCCCTAATCCCCAAAGACAAGCGTGCCATTTGACCATCTTGGGAAGTGAGGAATGCCACCATCGGACCAGTGTTTGCTTAGGTGAGTCTGCTGCAGACGCAGCCCAGCCTGGGTGTGGCAGGTCTAGAAACACCCACGGCCCCGGGAGGAGACTGCTGTGTTGTGGAAAGGGTCCAGGGAGTGGCAGATGGTACCAGGTCCCCCAAAACCAAGGGACCTCAAGGGAGGGCTGAGGCTTCCTCTGAGTAGGCCTGGCCCCCACATTAATTAATTTCTGCTGGAGAACCCTTTCCCTGCCCTTGGGCCAGTCTTTCAGCTCTCTTTGCTTACCATAGTCTGGAAAGTTGGTTCCTAGCAGAGACAGGGTCATGGGCCCACACTCTGACCTGCCCAGGGCTCTTTTTTAGCTCTGGGCTGTTACACAGGTTAATTCATGCATTGCACGTAGGGGAAGCCATTGACTTAAGGGTTCCTGTGCGGTGGAGAAAGGCCCTCATTGGCCTCTGCAGGGCCGGGAGGGGCCCTCTGGCAAGGGCAAGCCTCGGTGGTTCTTGCCTGCACGAGGCCTTGAGTTGGTGTAGAGAAAGTACTTCTCCACTCTGCGGCTGGCTAGGGGAAGGGAAGGTGGCTGCAGGTTCCTTGGTTACGTGAGGGGACAGTCTAAGCGCGCTGGGGAAGGGGTGTATGCTGGTAGGCAGTGGTTTACATGTTGGGACTCAGCCCCACGCCAGGACACACTGAGTGTGACTGGCTTCACAGAGCTTCATCTACAGAGAGAGCAGAGGCATGAAGTGGGGTGCCCGTCGTCAGACCTCAGGCCCAGGAACAGCCATCTGCAGGGCGGCAGCCGTGTGGCCGGGGGAGCTGCTCGCCGGCAGGCGGAGGACGGAGGGAGGGTCTGCTTCTCATAAAACGGAGCTGCTCCCGCGCCCTGGGCGCCAGCCAGGTTCTGGGCCCAGAGAGGATGGGGGACGGGGGGACAAGAAGACGGGAGCTGAGGAGAGTCTGGCAGACGGGTGGCTAGAGGCCGCTGTGCACCTAACCTGTCCTCTCTTCCCCTTCTAGTGTCTTCACTGTATTTTCTTTTTAAAAAAACAACAACAACAAAAAAGATGGAAAAAAAACCACTCAAAAGAAAAAAACCCAGCACAAAACCGACGATGGATTTTGTTTCTTTGATTTTTTGCCAATGGCGAGAAGACGGGATGCCCTTTGCACCGAGGGTCCTTGCTCCCTGGCGGCACGGGCTGCCCAGCCAACACTCTCCCACGACCCTGGGCCGCGGGAGCCGGCCGCCAAGTCCCTGCCCCAACCACCAGTTCCCCGCCGCCCGCACCTGCTGGGAGAGGAACACCTCAGTGCTGCCACCGGTCCTCGCCGGTCCTCGCGCCGTCAGAGGTGGCCGGAGGAGTCGCGTCGGGAAGCGAGGTGGTCAGCGGAAAGCAGGTCCCACTGGATTTCGTGAGCCGCAGAAGCGAGGAGACATGCACAGCCCCCACCTCTCCTGAGATGACAGCGGCCGACTTCTGTGTTGGGCTTTTCCCCGTGTCTCTGGGTCCCCCGTGCCTCTCCGCGGAGACCTTGCGTGGGTGGGGAGGTCATGGGGGCCAAGGTGCCTCGTGTGCACAGCTGTATTTGACCTGCCTTCCCCAGGGCAGCGGGTGCCACGTCCCGCCCCACTTCCCGGGCCGAATTCCTTTCTCCATGTCCCCTGACAAGGACATGGGGCGGGTAGTGACGTCAACATCCCTCAGAGCACAGAGGGTCCTCACCACCCCGGTCCCCCCAGTCTGTCATCAGCCTGTGGCAGCCCTGTCACCTGTTCCTGGTCTTAGGGCAGAATCCATGGAGACTACTTCTAGAAACATCTGGCTCTGGGTTATAAATTACTCCCCTGGTTCTGATAGTCACCTGGGGCCCCTCTCCCTGGGTTCCACCTTTCCGAGGAGGACCCGGGTCAGGGCTGAGTGTTGGATTTACCCATCCTTCCTAGTTAACTCCTGGTTTTGTTCTTATTTTTGTTTTCTCCATGTGTGTTTCCTAATTTATTTACCTCTGTTTCCCTTTTCCTTTTTTTTTTTTTTAATTAAAGAGCAAAGGTTTTTATTACTTTGTAATTTAAAAAACTGAAAAAAAAATACTGAAGAACTTTGGGGGGAATTTTGTACTTTTTTCCTGTGTAAATATTGGACTTTTTTGAGCTTTATCGTGGTTGTTAATTTGAAGTAATAAAGTAGAAAAGGATAAAGTGATGCAAGCAGCCTTCGTCTCTCTCTGCCCCCGGTTCCTGCCAGCAGACCCGGAAGGGGCCTTTCCTGGACCAGCTCGAGTCCCTGAGGTACACGACCTCCCCTGGGAGGCGGGTGTGGCTGGGACCGTGTCCATCTCTCAACACCTGGGCAGCAGCTGGAGTGTCCGGGGGGCACAGGTGCCCCCTGGGGTCTTGTTGCAGAGCACTGGCATGGGGCTGAGGGCCCCTCCCCCACACTCCCAGGACCACACTTTGGGAAGCAGGGTACTAAAACTCTCCTCTGTACAACATGGTTTTGTCCACACAAGAATTCGTGAGTTAGATCCTGTTAACAGCCTGCCCCCTGATGGGAAACAGTCCAGGGGTAAGATAGTTTGCCCAGGGTTGCAGCTCTGGTGGCACAGCTGGGATTTGAACCCAGAGCAGATGCTGTGACTGTCCACACCGTTGGTGCTGGAGTTGAGTTCCAGCGTTGGCCAGGCCCCAGGTGGCCCTGGCGAGATCTTTCAGTCAGGCCTGGATAAAGGTGCGGCCCTCAGCCTTGCCTGCCTTCATCTCACCAGCTTGTAAAGACTGTTGTTCAGTCTGCATTTATGCGACACCATTTGCTTGTCCTACCTTTCATTAACCCAATAGCCGTTATTGCCACAGTCCCACCCTAGAGACGCCGCTGGCTGGTAGGTCGGCCTGGGGAGGGCTGGAGGGTTCTGGGAGGCTCCGCTTGGGAATTTTGAAATCCTGGCCATAGCTCAAGCCCCGTCCAGCACTGGCATTTGAAGACCCAGTGATGTCACAGGTCTTGGGCCCAGGAGAGGGTCTCCTGCTGGCTCCTATGTGTGAGGTTTGGGTAGAGATGGGTACTTGTTCATAGACATCGGGCGTCAGGGTGTGTTACCTGAAGCCAGGAGATGCCAGTAGGCCCTGGAATTGCAAGTGGCAAGCGGAGCCCGGGCCTTGGGGTGGGTGGCAGTAGGGAGCCAGCGGCCAGGTGATGCACCCGTGAGGTGCCATTTCAGAGCCCCCAGCCCCACCCTCCCCTCCAGGGCCATCCAGGCTGGGCCACATCAGACTGTAAGTCCAAAGTTACCAGCTATGGGCCCTGAGAGAAAGGATATTTTTTCTTAATCTTTTTATCTAGATTTACAGCAGAAATTTAGTACCTAGTAATGATTGTTTATGTATTTGCTGTATCCTATGATACATGTAAGTTTTAAATAACAATTTTAACATTGCCACTAAAAATAAGCCTATGGAGTAAAGACATTTTTTACAAGTTTTATTTATTTATTTTTTTGTCCTTAAAATACATCTTACTAAGAGAGCCAGGTGTGGTGGCTCATGCCTCTAGTCCCAGCTACTGGGGGGAGGCTGAGGCGGGAGGTTCTGTTGAGACCGAGATGCAAACCAGCTGGGTCACAGCGAGACCCCATCTCAATCTCTCTCTCTAAGGATGTGTTGTCAGAATACTGTGCCCAGCAGGACATGAAATAATTCTTTGTGTGGTTATTTCACCAATTTTAATAATGAGTTAATGCTCCTCTCACCCCCGCGTTTTGGTTTAATTTTATTTGTCGGATATGTAGGATGTTTACATACACGAAGTTAAGCAATACAAAAAGCTCCCATCAGAGAATCATTCCCATCCTGCCCACTCCACCCCGCTCCTGTCTGTCATTTTCACTGGCTTCTAGTTCATCCATCCTGCACTTCATATTCACAGAGCTAATATATACGGGAGGGGGCAGTGGGTGAGGAAGGGACAGTTAAGCTGAGACCAGAGGGGTGACCAGGGTGCATCAAGTCACCAGGAAACTTAGCTGAGATGAGGAAGTGAACGTGCCGCCTGTTGAATCATTTTCATTCATGCCACAGACACACTGGACTTGTGTGGGTGCCAGGCGCTAGGCAGAGGTGGGGCAGGGTGCAAGGGGTGAGGGGTGGGGAGCATGGGGTTGGAGTCCAGGGGGCTTTGGGCACTGTCTGGGTCTCAGATTCCTACTCTGTGCGGTGGGAGTGATGAGGCTTGATGCCAAGGGTTGTTGGGATGAAATAAGATCACAGATGAATGAACACGAAGGCTGAGTTCATCGAGGGCTCACCTGGGCCAGGTCATTCCTAACCCCTTGCTCAGGACAAGCCTGTGACGTTGGTGCATCATGGTCCCACTTCATAGATGTGGGCCCAGCGGCACAGAAACACCTTCCGGGCTCCACCACCCACACCCTTGACCTTTCCGGTTCCAGGTACCTCGCAAGCAGATGCTCAGTAGTAGTAATTACACATTTCAAACTCCATGTGTGACTCTTGGCTTCCAGGTCTCATAGCCTAGTCGGGGAAAGACTCAGACTAGCAAATGGTTCCTCCCAATCCAGAACCCAGTGTGAGAGGCCCAGTGCCAAGTAGGGACAAAGGAGGGAGGGCATGTGTCTGGTGTCATCAGGAAGGTGTTTCAAAGGTGTTACTTGACCTGAGCCTGGGAACGTGAGCAGGAGTTTGTGGGGGCAGGGGTGGGGCATGAGATGGGGAAAGTCATTCCCAGCAGAGAAAACAGCCTGTGCAAAGGCCCAGAGGTATGAACGAGCTTGGTCTATTCAGGGAGTTCCAAGTGTGGAGGGGGAGGGGCATCCACAGCAGCAGAGGCTGCTGCAGGCAGAGGCCAGACTGGGCAGAAGTGGGCATGAATCCAGAAAGCTCTCCCCCTGCCTAGCTGCAAGCAGCTCCTCCCTCTGGAGCCCTGGTTTCCTAACCTGCAAAACGGGAATAACCATGCCATATAGAAGCTGTCCCCCTTAGCCTGACCTGCGCCCACGCGCCTGATGTCCACAGGTCAGCACCTGCACCGTGGGGGCTGCTGAGGAGGGCAGAGGGCACGGCGTGTTAACTGAAGGATGTGAGTCTGACAGCGGTGGGCAGGGAGTTTGGAGGAAGGAGACAGGAGGCAGGGGAAGGCTTAGGGAACGGTGGTCACAACCCAGGTGGGAGGCGTCCGGAAGGCCAAGAGGACTGTTGAGAACAAGGTCTGTTCTTAGCAGACGGAGAGACAGGAAGGGTCAAGAGGCTCTGGGGGGGCAGCCTGGGTGCCCGCGAGCACAGCTGGGGCACTGATGGAAAGCCAGAACAAAGCGGGGGACGGGTGGGGGCCGTGGTGCATTCTCAGCCCCAAACCCAAGAGGCGCAGCCAGCGAGGGAGGGCTCCTCGGGGAGGGGCGGGGCCTCTGGAAGGGGCGGGGCCAGGGTGAGGCTGGCCAAAGAGAGGTCCCGCTGACCATTTCCTCCGGGACTTTTTCTTTTCTTTTCCTTTTCTTCTTCCTTTTCCTTTTCTTTTTTTCTTTTCTCATCTCTTCTCTTTCTTTTCTTCTCTTTGTTTTTGAGTAAGATCTCGCTCTGTCACCCCAGTTGGAGTGCAGTGGTGCGATCACAGCTCACTGCAGCCTGGGCTCCTGGGCTCAAGTGATCCTCCTGCCTCAGCCTCTCACCGGGCCTTCTTTTTTAAGTGGAAGTATAATTTATGTACAAAAGGATGCACACATCTCAAGCGTACGTTTCTCCACTGACAACCCAAAATAAGTGGCCCAGGCAAAGGTCTCAATCAATGGAGGTTTATTAGGCCAAAGTTTGGGGACACGTCTAGGGAAAACACAAACCACAGATAGATCTGTGGCTGCTTTTCCGAAAGGGAATTTGGAAGCTTTGGTATTTAAGGCGAATAGGGCACACAGAAAGAAAACAAAAAGAGTAGGAGGGCAAGCAGTGAGGCAAAATGGCTACATTTTTGTGAGGCCCAGGAAATCTACACTTTACATAAAATAAGGCAAATGTTAGACGAGCAAAAGGGAGGGAAGCATCAGCGATGGAGATGGCCCTGGGTAGGGGAAGAATGTCCCATCTTGTCTTGTCTATGCTCTTCACCTGGGAAGATAAACTTGTATTTCATCCTTAGCATGGAATTGTACAGATGATGTTAGTTTTAGGAGCTAGACTTAGCCTGCAGACCTAAGATTCAATTTGCATGTCCTTGTTTCTGGGAGGCCAGTGAGGAATTTCCCTATGAATGATCAGTGGGACCGTCATTTGCAGGTGTCTCTGCCTTTCTTTTGCATAAGGAGTGGAAGGAGGAAGGGGGGTCCTGTGATTTTTATTTTCCTTTATGCCCCACGTGTGTGGCCCCACCTGGTTGAAGATGTAGGCGATTGTCAATACTCCAGCAGGGTCCTTCATGCCCCTCCCCTTCCATATGTCCTTCCACGCTCAGCCCCTCCCACTACACACAGGGGTAACCGCTCTAGTACGTTCTAGCACAGGTTCTGTGGGGGTGAGGAGGAAGGGCTGGAGCTCTAGGGACAGAAGGAGAACAGCTGAGCCAGGACACTATCATGGGGTGCAAGGTTGCTGTTGTGAGGGTCAGAGAGGCCTGCAAGTGTTTTGGAGGCCAGAGAACTGCTGAGGAGGGGGTTTGGAAGATGGACAGCAGATGGGTCAAAGAAGGGGTGGGGGAGGGGCCAGGCCAGGGAGACCTTGGCCTGGAACAAAAGGAGGGGCTAGGCTTTCTGTGAACTTGGTCCCACCACTTCCCCTGTGCATCTCATCCTCTGCAAAAATGCAAGCCCCTGGCGTCACTGGCCTGCCCCACCTCGGTGGTGGCATCCCCTCTCCACACACTACCTTCCCCTTCCCCGCCCTGGGCGCCCACACCCCTCACCCCAGGGCCCAGCATGGCAGAGCAGCTCAGGCAGACTGAAGCAGCTCTGATGGGGGTCAGCACAGCTTTAGCAAAGAAGAATGTCCTCCCCCTCCCTCACCCCTGCTCTATTTGAGAAACAGACATGGGAATAGCTATAGCCAACAATGCTGAGTCTCCTCGGCCTCCTTCCCAGAACACATGGAGTCATTCGAGGCTGAAACACAGTCTGGGCTCCAGCCTCGCACGGCCCAATCCCTGCAGCCTTCTCTGGGGCCTGCCGTTTCCCTGCCTACCTGCGGGCTGGGGAGGTAGAAGCGGTC